TGTTGTACCCCACCATGCATCACAAAAGGGTAAGAAAAATCAGGGGTTAATGCTTGAGTGTTATAATCCTAATTGGGTTGAATTTATTCCTTTTTCCCATCAAAAAGCCCAACCGTTAGCCCTTGTTGCCCAAATTCCCCCCTAACCAAATCACAACCCACAAACCCTCTCCCACAACATCCAAACTCATTTCCTCTGCCCAAAATAAAGTCTTTGTTATTCATTACTAAGCCTAGGCCGAAGGTGAACAACAAAAGACAAAATAAAACCTTTGTTTATTTTTTTCTTAAACATGATAATCGATTATCCAACATAGATAATCGACTATTGCTTCCCTCTGAATTCTCCTAACGTATTCCTGCAATGCTCCATAATCGATTATCTCCCAATAGAAAATTGATTATCACTCATCTTAGAAGATATCCAGTTTGGAAACCAGTCCTTGATAATCGATTAATCTTTTTGTGTCAATCGACTACCGGATACCTCAGAAAATTCTTGGTTTAGCAGACACACCTTGTTAATCGATTATCAGTAATAGATAATCGATTATCACCTGTCTCAGAACCTAGAAACCAAAGTGGTCTCTGATTTAACAGTAAAGGTTTTGTCATTTAGGAGAACACACTTGAATACATACCATTCCCACTATATATACGAAATTCCCATGTTATTATTCAACAAAATCAAAGACTTTTATAAGCTTAATCCCTCATCCATGTGCCTGCCCAAAAAGTCTTTGATTGAATAGTAATATCTTGTCCTATTACTAACTAAAAGTCAAGCCATGTTGTTTCCTTTATTCTCCCACCTTAAGGACAAAAATCATACATTAAGACCACCCAAAATACATGCCAAATCCCTGATCATTAACCTTGAATTCAACTCATTTGGGATATTAACACATGCACAGCATTTGTTTTATTTTGTAGGAAAGAAGTGAGAAGTTTCCTTTGTTGTATTTTATTTATCATGTTTGTTGTATTGCTTTCTCCATTCCATGGCCTATATATTTCAGCCCTGGTTCATTGTATTAATCAGCTTGTAAAATATATATTGTGATAATATAAGTTTCTTGCTCAGCTCTCTCTCTTTCTAAATTCTATATATTAAATCCTAATTCTATATCTTAAGAGTGGTTCTCTTAAGTGGGAGTTTTAGGTTCTAGATATATTAAATAAGTTGAGTGATTCCTTATTTAAACACTAGAGTTTAACCCGAATGAAGATAAGTGTGTGTGATTCCTCTTATATTCACTTGATAAATGCTTCTTTCCCTCTCCCTTGTTTTCTCTTGAATTCAGCCTCTCCTATATTTCTACATCCTTCTCTCCTTCTTCCTCTTCTTAAATTGATATCCTAGACCACCCCGGGTCTCGGGTACAACATTTGGTATCAGAGCTTGTTGTTGAACATCTCTTTGAGGACCACAAACACTTCCCTCTTATCCTCTCTTTCTCTCCCAATCTTGATCCTGATAGCATTGATAATCGATTATAAACTCAGATAATCGACTATCTTACCTTGCTGAATTTTCATCACATAACCAACCACACCCCTCTTTCCCTACACCTTGTTCTTTTAAACCATGTCTCACACAACTCAAAATATGTCCAAGAAGAGCTTATTGCTTCCAATGCAGAATTGAAGGCTCAAGTTGAATACTTGGCAAAAGAAGTGGCAAAGCTCATGATAAGTCCGTTTCGTTCTTATCATTTACATCATATTCTAAACGTTATTGCACGTAAATAGTATTTAATCATCTCATAAAATGTGATTTTAATGGATAAAACTCTTATTTTCGTTCTAAGAGTCATAAAATGGGATTCGACATGAAATCATCATAAATCATTCATTTTTGTTCAAGTATTTGAGAAAAAGGGAATAAATCATCAAGGGATCAAGATCCGGACTTGAACGAGCTTCCGGGAGGTCAAAAACAGTGTTCGGGGCCAAAACGGAGTGAAATTGGGCCAAAATCACGGAACAGCCGCGAAGCCCAACGGACCAAGGCCTCCAGGCGTCCAACTTGGACGCTTGGCCAAGTTGGACGCTTGAAGTTGGACGCCTGGGCTAGATTGCAAACCAAGAAAGACACGTGGCAAAATCTGGTTGGCCGGAGCAGCTCAAGCGTCCCGATCTGGACGCTTGGACTTGGACGCTTTGACTTGGACGCCTTGGCTTCGTTCCTATAAATACAGCGCGATTCTCCCCATTCAAGACATCACTTTCACTCCCATTTTCGGGAATTGAGCCTTATATTCCAATTCCGAGTTTTAGTTTAGTATTTTAGTAGTTTTGAAGTAATTTTTGGAGAAATTCTACTCCCGATCTGTTCTGTTCCGCTTTTACGGAAGTTGTAAGTTCTCTTTATTTAATAAAATGCTGTTTTAATTTATGTTTGCATAGTATGAGTTAGTGTCCGGATCTCTGGGTCCGGACTAGTTTGGTTGTTTATTTTTAAGGTTAAATTAATGTTGGAATGGTTAATCTATTGTTCTTGCCTTATTTGGTTAATTAAACTCGAAAGATTTAATTAGCTATTTATTGAGAAAATATTGTATGCCAAAAGGCTATGATATTCAAGTACAACGGATTAAGTACAAATCTAGAAATGGATGAGTAGTAATAGAAATATTATTATTCCAATTGTTAATTTAATATGATAAAATAAATCCAAATGATGTCCAGACCCTAGGTCCAGATCTATACTTATACTATGTAAACTTAATTTATTACTTTTACTCTGTTCAATTTATAACCGTTCCGAGAAGACTTTCATAAACCAGTCCTAACCTTTGCCTAGTTAAAGTGATTAAACTAATTCCCCTCGTCTACTCCTCGAGAGATACGACACTCGGAGAGAAAACTTACCCTACTGGGAAGGTTTACTACCCGAAAAACTACAACTGTTAATGGCGCCGCTGCCGGGGAGTGGCACGGCATTAGTTTAATTTCTTCTGATTAGCTTGGGTGAAGATTGGTTAGAACGATCTTCTCACTTCTTTTTTTTTCACCAACCACCCGTAATAATTATTATGGACAACTCCAGTGGTTATTACGGCCCGCCTTCTAACTACCAATCACCCAACCGCCCTCCGTACCAAACCCACCAACCCTATCACCCACATCAAAACTCATATGATGACGACTACCAAGTCAACAATGGGTCTGACTACTATCCCTACCATGAGGAACCACCATATGATACCCCGTCTAGAAACTTTGGGTATTCTCCTTGCCAAGATTCTGATGGGGATAATTATTATGAACCTCATGGTGATCACGATGACTATGACCAATTTGGGCCTATGTGCGATGATCAATCTGATCCACTCGTCGAAGAGATCATAAGATTAGAACAGAAAATCTTCTATTTCGACGAACTTTTATTTGCTGAAGGCTCATGGTACGAACCACCCTACTCCCGTGACTACACTTTGTTTGCTGAAGAACAAATTGAAGCAAACAAGGTGGCAATTCGAGAAAGAGCAAAACTTCTTGAATCAGTCACGGAGGAAAAGGAGTTCGAAAGGAGATTACACGAAGGATCAAAATTGATGCAGAAAATGCTGAATGACTTCCAAAGAGAGAGACTAGAAGCCGAAGCTAAAGCTGATAAATTAGTCAATGATCTCTGCAAGGCTGTTGAACATAAACGCTCCCTCCCATCTCAAGATCAAATGAGGGAGATTAATGTTCAAAAAGAGGCTCTAGAACCTAAGACCAACCCCGAACCCATCAACCAACAGGTTCCAGATCTAGAAGATTCACCCAGTTTTACACCATCACAGAAACCCGAGAGCATAACAACTCTCGCTAGGGCTACTGTTGTGATATTACCTGAATCCTTGCCTAGCCAAGTCCCAGCTAGCATAGTCGTACATGAGGTGGAACCAATTGAGGGACCTGACTCAGAACCACCTACGCTCATTCAAGAAAAGGGGGAGGAAGTTTTGCCTACGGCAATAAACGACCATCTCCTTAATTGTGTTGAAGACACACCTCCAGAGGAACCTGTTCTGGAGGAAGTAGAGCCCATTACCTACCCCCAAGATACCAATGTCCAAGTGTCTGAGCAGGAATCTATAGACGAGGAATTATTTTGCATGGAAAAGCCAACTCCGCTTATAGAAACCTGTGTACATCATGCTTCATCTGAAGATTCAGACCATACCTTCTTTGACTCCCTACTTGACGGGTATGACTATGTCTGCCCGAAGGATGGTTGGAACTTAAAGAGTTGGGATGAACTTCTGGAGAGTGACGACGAGGACTCTTCCTTGGGGGAGGGTACGATCATAATCATCAAACCACAAATGGATAGTCAGCCAATTGAAGCTAAGGAAGAAATCAATTTCGCAATCAAGGCTAACGATGTGGATCTACTGAGGAGACTTCCGCCCCCACCCACCTATCAAGAGTCTCCTCCTTTTTTCCTGTTGCCACCAAGCCGCAGGGATGAGTCAAAGATCCTGGACCTTGACCGAGCAACAAATCAAACAAGGTGGCATCAGAAGAGAGTCAAAAGGGCCAAACTTTATGACTCTCGAATCGGAAGGTCGCGGAAAAAGTGGGTGAGCGTCAAGCTACGGACGTTAAAGAATCGCTTAAACGGGAGGCAACCCGTCATTCAGATAATTAAATTATTTAATATGCTTATTTTTTTTACTTGTCGCACCAGTAGGGGGCAAGATTTTACTTGTTTTACTTTTCTGTTCTACAGATGGATGTTGCTTGGATGATTCCACATGGAAACCGCCGCACATTACAGAACCTGGAAGAGCTCCCCTTGCACTCAGAAGAAGCAAGGAAGAGGTTTCTCACTTGGGGGAACACGAAGATGCTCCAGCCCCCCATGGTGCTAGACCCTGCCTATCTGGATGAACTAGGGCACTGGCAGGACATTGATGAGTTTCTGTACAACCCAAAATGGAGGATCCTGCTGTTCCTGCAAGCACCAGCAAGCCTGGAAGTCACCATTGAGTTTCTTTGCTCTCTCCGCTTCCTCAATGACGGAGAGGAAGTAAGGTCAACAGCTGAAGTCACCTCCACCACCAAGCTCACATTCACTCTGATGGGACGACTCCTGAGCCTTACTGTGGCAGACTTAGTGTGGCTGATTGGTCTTTACACGCTTGATGAAACACGGAGCCTGGAATTTGCTAATCTGCCTGATCGGTTGGATCCGGAGTTCGATGTGAGGAAGTTCTGGCAAGCTCACGGGTATGGACGATATCACAGTGGAGCAAGCATAGCCAGGAATTGGGTGCGTCCGTCTTGGAGAATTTTACACCATGCATTGACTCATAGCTATTTTGGCCACTCTCATGGCTCTGATGTGGTGTTTGATTCCGATATGCTATTTTTCTGGAGTCTGGAAGCGCGCGTACCAGTCAACCTAGCAACTTTTGTGGCGCGATTCCTATTTGCTCAGTCGACTAGCAACCACCAGTTTGTGTTATGTGGGCCAATGGTTACGCTTCTGGCCCGAGGATTATGTATGACAGTCCCCAATGTTCTCCCAGAGGCTGCAAGCATATTCCGACCATCGACAAGGTATTTGACCCAGATTGCTTATAATAAGGAGGACAAGGAGGCACGCCCCAGAAAGTAGCATAGAATTCCCATGACCCTTCGCGAGCTTTCACAGGCTATGTTTGCATTCCAGGATTCTGTAGACTCTCGCTTAAGGAGCATGGAGACGCTCCTTCTCACGCAGCAATGGCAAGTGGAGGAAATACTTGAATACACCCGGGAGCAAGGAACAAAGAAGGCCGAGCATAAGGAAGGTCCTAAACAAGGCAAACGTCAGGGATAGTGAGATCCCTAATTTCTTAATACTGCATTCAGAACATCATTTTTGGATATTTATATGATCTTATTTTGGAATTTCACATTATGACTCTTAAACCCATTTTGAGAAGTTTTATGCATTATTTCATATTTTCTAGTTATGGTTATCTATTATTTCAATCTTCATCTTTGAATTTTATGAGTATTGAGATAACTTAGTAATTGCATGTGAGCATTTCAACCATTAACTCCAAAGCCCAAATACTTTTAACCACGAGGGCGTGGTTCCGTCTAAGTGTGAGGAGGTAAGAGTTCGTGGTTGAAATGATCTTTTTAGGAATTGTTTTGTCTATATATTGTTAGGAAAAGATTTTTTAAAATAGTCCTCAATTTTAATTGTTTGATTAATTAATCTTTATTTATCACCCGTAAAAATTGGAAATTTTTAAAATTTTTTGTCAAACTTCTATTTCTATTCTAACCTTTTTGGGAATGTTTTCTAAAATGATTTGGGATAAATTCACAACTTATTAAGAGTTTTTTTTAGATCAATTAATTTTTAAGCACTTTATTGAAAATCTTTTTGCTGATGCTCTTTTGAGTATTTGTTGTTTCTGAAAAAGAGTTATTTTCAAGGTATAAGGGGTGACGTTTCAAAGCATACTTTGGTGAGACCGAGATTCTTGTTTTAGCCAAAAAGCAATTGGTTCTATGTCAATTGATGAGGCGTGGTGAGTATGCCAAAAAGCACGTCGTTCTATATTGCGTGATGAGGCCTTTTGAGTGTTAGAGTCAAAAAGCATGCGGTTCTATGTCGTGTGATGAGACTTTCCAGAGTGAATATCCAAAAAGCTCGTGGTTCTATGTCACGGGATGAGGTTATAAATTTTCTCGTGTCAACATGACAAAGTTATGCCAAAGAAAATTAAACCCTTACGATTTGACAAATACTTTTGCAAGAACATGTTTTCCAATTTAGCCATTAAAAAAATTATTTGATCTTTAAAGTACTCTTACAAATGTAGTTGTCCCAAGGAAAGTTTGGAAAGTTTTGGTTGTTTAGGTTGGTGTAAAAATATTGGTCTGACAAAATTCTTTTACATTTCTAACAATATGGGTGAGAATCTAAAGGTTCATTTATTCTTAACAAAAAGGTTGATGACTATCTCATTCCTTCTTTCCTTCATAATATGTAGCTTAACCCTTCCCTCTGCAATTATTAATTTGTCTTTATACTTATACTTATTCAATTTGTTGCTTGAGGGCAAGCAACGTTTAAGTGTGAGGAATTTGATAAGTCCGTTTCGTTCTTATCATTTACATCATATTCTAAACGTTATTGCACGTAAATAGTATTTAATCATCTCATAAAATGTGATTTTAATGGATAAAACTCTCATTTTTGTTCTAAGAATCATAAAATGGGATTTGATAAATCTGTTTCGTTCTTATCATTTACATCATATTCTAAACGTTATTGCACGTAAATAGTATTTAATCATCTCATAAAATGTGATTTTAATGGATAAAGCTCTCATTTTCGTTCTAAGAGTCATAAAATGGGATTCCACATGAAATCATCATAAATCATCCATTTTTGTTCAAGTATTTGAGAAAAAGGGAATAAATCATCAAAGGATCAAGATTCGGGCTTGAACGAGCTTCCGGGAGGTCAAAAACAGTGTTCGGGGCCAAAACGGAGCGAAATTGGGCCAAAATCACGGAACAGCCGCGAAGCCCAACGGACCAAGGCCTCCACGGGATTAACCACCTGGTCCGGTGCGGACCAGAGATTCCAGTGAGTATGAGGTATTTTTAACTAGCTAAGCAATTGCAATAATTGGGTTCCATGCTATTTCTGGTCATCAAATCATACTTAATTCGATAACCAGATATAGAAGAGCTCATTAAGTCAATAGTTCCTAGTCGCCGTTAGCCCTGCCTAGAAATCTTCCTCTTGATCAGAAGGTGAATTAGGATATAGGATACATTCTAGGAAAAGAAAACTCGTGAATCAAGAATGAAGTTTTCTTTCTGTACATGCCAGCTCATGAATTTAGTAACTGCTTCCAATAACCAAGGTTAAGAAAGTCCCCAAGAGGGCAGAGTTCATCCAGGATTTCTTATTCTTTCTTTTTCTCTTGACCAATATGCATTAACGAAAATGTGCAAAAGCTCGATTTGCCTCTGCCATTCTATGAGTCTCCTCCTTTTTGCGTATAGCATCGCCACGCCCTTTGGCAGTATCGACTAATTCCGAACTTAATTTGAAAGCCATATCTCGACCGGGACGTTTTCGGGATGCCGCTAATAACCAACGAACGGCAAGTGCTTTTCCTTGTGTAGATCTTATTTCAATGGGAACTTGATGAGTTGATCCACTGACACGTGTTGAAGAGAAAGCTCCACTAGGTGATATATGTTTTAAGGAAGTTGTTTCCTCAAAATATTATCATCTAATTAGTGACGAAGAATCTCATCCAATCATTGAAGATTATGTGAAGGAGGTTCTACGAACAGTGATTACATTTTTCCGGACAGTACAAAAAGAGGTGCCAACTTATTCCGGAAAGAACCTCATCATTGGTGGTTTCTCAAGTTTCCCATTTGATCCGGGAATTCTTTTATGAAACCCCAATCAGTCACGGTGGTGCGAAAGTTTGAGGACAAACTTTCTTCGAAGAAGGGGAGTATGATGTACCCCTGGATGACTCCACCAAAATCCAAACTCTCCCAATATATCCAAAAGTTTTCTTTCTTTTCTTTTATCCAAAATAAAGTGTTTTCCATCCATTTTAACCCCTCATCGAAAATAAAAGCCAAAACCTTTGTTTCTTGTTTTTGTCTTTTCAAAAACCTTTTACCCAAATAATGCCTTCCCTTCTTTTCTTCTAATCCTGATTCTGAACCCCTAAATAATCGATTATCCTTAATTGATAATCGACTATTGAAGTCCGCAGATTCTTCTTCAAAGTCCATAACTTCTCATAATCGATTGTCAATAACTTGATAATC